TACTCAGAACACTCAAAATAGCGAGTACTCTGTCCTCCTACAGAGTGGTCCAGAGGCAAGGGAAAGTATGGGAGTCACTCAAGCAAGGGATCCAAGTTTGAGGGTTTTGTCATGCAATTTGGTAATAGCTAGGGAGGTAGCCATCACATGTGGTGGCAGCAGTGGGAGAAAAAGACCCATTGTGCTACCATCAGAGAAAACCTTTTGGTGCTGTTGAAGTACACCTCCCTAGCCAATCTTCAGTGGTTGAGGAATGATAGTGGAGAGCTTCAGTCCAACAACATCTGAAGGGCTTCAGGATTCCAGATCCTAATACAGAACTACCTCCTTGTGCCTTGCTCAGCAACCTCTGTGGTTCCACCCTGGCCTGCTGCCTGGTGGAGTTCTGTCCTTCCTGGCTTCTCCATGGAATTACGTAGTTGAAGGCTCTTTGCTTTCAACACAACTATTGTCACAACGTCTCATTTCCTCCAACTAAGGGGCTCTGCAGACAGCACAAAGCGCCGTCTTGGAGCCAGGGAAGGGGAGGAGCAGCTGGACACCGGACACACCAACCCCTTCCTGAGGACATCCTTCTGACGCAGTGTCCAGACATGCTGCACTGGAAGAGGTGCAAAAGCGCTGCATGGCAGCTCTTCGGGCACCCTTTACGCCGCCTGGGAAAGAAGCACTATTTTGGCGTTCTTTTCCCAGGTGCCAAAAGGGAGGATTGGGACCTAGGCATGGGGCAGCTTCGGCCCCAATCCTCTGCTTCCCAGGGCAGCCCACGGCCACCTGTCTGCACCCCCCTAAATGTTACAGTAACTCAAACTTCTCCCAGCTCCTGGGCAACCTAAACAAAACTGAAACAGGCTTGAAATGGCCTAGTCTTACTCCTGGTGCTTAGGGAGGGGAATCTTTTTTCCTTGTTCCTCTCCCCTTCTTGGATGCTTCCCAGTTGGCTTTCCCCTTGCTGTGGCAGTCTCGCCCTATGCTCCACCTTCAGCTTTGAGCATCCCACCACTCATCTTCACAGGCTGGAACCCTAGGACTTGGCATGCCCCACCTAGAGATAGCAATAACAATAGCAGCTTCATTTATATACCACTTCATATTGCACTAAGCAGTCTCTAAGCAGTTTATAACTGTAAGCTAATTGCCCCCAACAAGCTGGGTACTTATTTTAATGACCACAGGCTGAGTTGACCTTAAGCCCCTGGCTGGGATTGAACTCATAACCTTGTGGTTTGTGAGTGAATGGCTGCAGTACTGGCATTTAATCACTGCGCCAACAGGGCTCAGTGTGCAGTTCTCTTTCTATGGGTTCCCTGTGGGGCCTTTCCCCTTCAATTGTTTTGGTTACTGAATCTTGCTCCAACCCTTCTCCTAACCCTGGGGTCTCTTCCCTCCCTGACATGGGGAATAGGACTTCCAGGATTCCCCCACAGAATGAGCTTTGGAGGGTACTTGGCTCTCTGACTCTTTGCCCAGCCACGGATGCCCACCTCCCAGACTACAACATCCTGTCTGCCTTTCCCTTCTGCTTTCCCAAGTACCTTCTTCTCCTCAATCTGGGTCAGCCTCTCGTTCTCTCACCAGCCACCACTCTTTCCTCTTGGGTGCATCCATCCAACTCCGGGCAGGGAATCTCTCTCTATCACATCCTCTCTCTCTCCTGATTCTTACCCTTTTAGCTTCTTTTCTTCAGCCCACACCCTATTCTCTCTCCCTCTTCTTCCCCCTTCCAGGTGCCTTGGGACATATTCTTCAGCCTCTCAGCATTCTTGGGCAGCCCCTCCTTCTAGCTGGATCAGTGTGGATATTGGAGGTAGGGTGGAAGAAGTTGTGGGACACCCTGACCCTCCCTCAGATTTGTCACAATCTCCATGTAGAAAGTTGTCTGAGTGATGTTCCAAATTTACATGGATCTGTCCATTGCTTAGCTGCTTCTAGCCTACTGACACACTGTCAGTATCATACCTTCCAATGGTTCCAATTTAGCTAGGGCAGCCCCAATTAATCTTCGTTTGTCCCACTTTTCCAGCTGCTTTTAAAATGTCCCAGTTGATCACTCTTCCTTCCATTTTACCTCTGTTCCCTCATCTTCATTTACTGTAAAGTGAGTTGATTATGCAAAAGTAGTTTGCATGCAATTAATGTAGCATGGGGAGGGAGCAGAATCTTACCATTCCCAGCAGGCTCCGACAAAAACGCACTGCTGCAGGCTCTCTGGTATTCATCTTTAGTAATACTTTTGCCATCCTGACCACACTCTTATATTGTTTCACTATGTCAGTCCTGATTCTCATCTGTCAAATGTTGGAAGATCCAGAGTATCCAGTGAAATATTAACATTCCTCTCCAACTTTTTCTGCTATTAAGACTTTTCTTTAATTTCCTTCTCTCCCTCTTCAAATAACTGTCATTACTACTTTTGTGTGTGTGTGTGTGGGGGGGTGACTCCCTCCCACACACACACACACACACACACACACAAAAACCAGCCTTGTTGTGGTATTCCTCAGGCTGCATTATGGGCCAAGACACCATTAATTTGTCTTTCCTTTCTCCTTTATACAATCGGGTACTCTGTCTCTCTTTCTCCCCCCCCCCCCCCCATTCAACCATGCTCTCCACTATAGATGAGGAACCTGAGAACTGTCTCATATGTTGCACATTCATTGTTTGAACTGGCATTCCACCCAGTAATAGATTTACTATTGCATTAGAAACTAGATATGGGAAGGGTCAATGTATATTCAAAAATATGAATGGGTTAACTCCCAAGTTATGTGATTTTTTTAAAAAATTAAAATACTTAACTATCCTGTCATTTATCATTTAAAATACAGCCAGCCTCCACATTTGTAGCTTTGATTTATTTTTGCTGATTTGATTAAGATCTTCTCTCTAGGGACGTTATCACACGTGGGCCAGAAAGCAATAATAAAG